TTAAATATTAAAATATTTGTGATTTCTGCGCAATAATTCTATCCATCTTTATTTTTATTTAAAATTTATAACTTGTAGATTTATGATTATTAGTATACTGTAGTATGAAGATTAGAATTTCGGGAAAATGTGATCGCCAGATTACAGCATTATTGTATCTGTGCATCGATTATAAAATGGTTTATATAATCTTATATGTTATTTAATAACTTTATAATGCATAATATCATACATATTTATAAAACGTTGTCGGTATTTGGTGATCTTTCAAAATAATAGAGCGTACTTGTGTGTGAATATATATTTATACATTATTAGCTTTATTAAACAGATATTGGAGATAAAACAATAAATGTAGTTCATTTTTACAACTGTATATTTTTGTAATCATCAATATAATTTGAATATATAGTAAGTCATTAAATAAAAAAGATATAATATATATATAATATATATATATATATTTATCACGAATAATGTAAAAAATTCATACATGATAATTGTTATAAATTCAAAAATAATTATATTATTTATTTATATATTCACAACTAATTATAAAGAATATTATTCGCGTTTCCCCTTTCACTCATAAATTTTACAATCAGTTTGTAATTATCGGTCATATAATGTCGAAAATTAATTATATTCCCATGTTCAAAAAAATATTGTTTACATATACATATATATATAACCGCAATCATTAAATTTCGCTTCGATTACTCAAGGATACAAGTTAGATATATCATTACATTATACGATTTTGTACAATCATGAAAACGGATGTGATATTTTTTAATAATAATCACAATTGTATGGAAAGTAAGATTACAAAATTTAATTTTCTTTGATACATGTAACATTAAGATTAAACCTAAAAATAATCAGATCACGATCAATTTAGAAATATTCTAGATATATATTTCCTACATTAAGATTTATTGAGTCATTTAGAAAATAAGATAAACATTAATTTAAGTATATCGGTTAAATAGTATCGATTGGACTTAATAAGGCATCTTGTATGTTCTTTCTTAATGCTATAATATTTTTCAAACAAAATTTGAAATTTGGTCTAGCATCCGCTGCACTCCAGCAACTTAGCATCAACTGGTACAATGGTGACGGACAGTTAACAGTCATCGGCAACCTGCCTCCAGCACGTACATAATTTATCACTTCTTCATTAGTCTTGGCACTATAAGGTTGCTCACCCAACGATGTAATTTCCCACATTAATACCCCAAATGACCAAACATCGCTTTGAGAAGTAAATTTTCTGATCATCAAAGATTCGGGTGCCATCCAGCGAATAGGATGCAAACCTTCTCCTTCCTAAAATATAATTTAAAAAAATTAATTTTCTGATTATTCATTTTTAGAATATGTGCAAAAAAATGTTCATTTATCTCTTGCTGTAAATAAAAAACTATTTATATTCAATATTACTTAAAGAAACAATGCAGAATACTATTATGATAAAAAAATGGAAAGTATTTTAAAAAGAATTCAATTTTTAATCATCAAATTTTTTTCATAATTGTATTTACCACGCGATAATAATCATCCTTGTAGACATCTCTAGCTAGTCCAAAATCTCCAATTTTGATGACACGATCCTCGCGATTTCTCGAAGATACTAAACAATTGCGACACGCTAGATCTCTATGTACGAAACGCAACTCTTCCAAGTAACAACAACCTCGTGCAACATCTTCGCACATGGCGAACAAATCTTGTAAACGCAGAGCAAGCGAATCTGACGCTTGCATATTTCGACATTCTCTCAAATATTTTAACAGATCACCAGTTTCTATCAATTCCAACAGTAGTAACGGAGAATCTCCATCTACACAAACAGCCAACAATCTTAATATATGTTTGTGTTGAAAATGACTCATAAGCTTGGCTTCCTTTAACAATTTCTTTTTCTCATTGGAAGAAGCATCTTTTCGAAGCGTTTTTATTGCAACGGATATCTCTGTGCCCGATTTTTCTAAGTCCTTCATATTTCCTTGAAACACCTGCGAAATATTTCACACAAATTTACATGCGTACTTCATTAGAAAATGTATAGTTTAATGCCAAGTAATATTATATTTTACTTTATATTAAATAATTCAATAAAAAATATATAATAAAGTGCATGCTTGTTGTCTCATATAAATTTTATATTACTTATAATCTATTATAAAAATTCATGTAATTTACATCTTTATTAGAAAATACATATCTGTTTTGTTGAATCGGAAATTAATTTGAAACGTTGCTTGAAAAAATTAATTTTTACCTTTCCGAATGCGCCCTTACCAAGACGTTTTGTAAGTGTAATTTGATTTCGTGCGATTTTAGTTCTTGCACATTCATCTAAAGTGTTTCGCCAAGGTACTTCATGTAGATTCGCCAATTCTACATCGGTCATTGTTGAAGACAAAAATTGTTCATTATTACCTCTGTGTTGACGATACACTATTATAAAATTTCGATTTAATTATGTAATAATATGTATTATAAAATTTACTGTTTTTTAGTAAATTCATTCGTTTAATTTTATATAAGTAAATTATTATTTTCAGTAAATCTCTAGATATTATATCAGATATATATATGTATAATCTACAATTCAAGTCAACATCTACATCAAATATACTTACAACGATAAATGTAGAAAACGCAAATTATAGGAACTATAATCATGAAACTTAACATCAATAATAAGTCATATTTATCCGCTATTATTCCAGGAGTGCTTGGAATATCTAGATTAAGCAAAAGTATAATTTTAATATCTTCGTATGTGTATATTTTTACAAATTTATTTTTACTTATAACTTTATTATAAGATTTAATTTTTTTAAATTTTATGTCTATTCATAAAAAAAATCAGCACATAATATTATAATATTATAATATCTATGCACAAAATATTACAACTACTTTGCAACAATGTTGCAATATTACAAATTGCAAGGCTACATTACAGAAACATTGTAGAAATATAAATTAACAAAGTATGAATTATACATTAGCAATATAATATTTATATTTTAGAAACATTTATTTAATCTAAGTTTTAAAATTAATTTATCAAGAAGGTTATAGTCCGAATTCTCGTGCTAATGCATCTTCGGATAATGCTTCATCCTCGTTAACAGCTCTTACAGCATCGTATGCAATTTTAAACCTTATTGTGAAAAATTCAAAATCATTTTCTGAAGGAAAATTTGTAAAGGAATGTCTCATCGCAGCAGTAGAGTCGTTTGGAAATTCGTTAACTCTTAAAGAAGCTGCTGGCATTCCTTTAAGTGACAAAACAATAAAATCGCATGTAAATGATATTGCTTCTTCTATAGAAAAAAATTAAAATCTTTATTAGTATCTTGTTCTTTCTTTTCATTATGTCTCGATGAAAGCACCGATAACCGNTTCTTTATCCCCTTTTATGTTCCCTTTTTCAATTTTATTCGCAGTAATTAATTGATTGCGATTCGATAAAGATTTCATGCGATACAGTTTCATGTTCTTTACCATAAGTTAATTAATTTATAATTATTAATAATTATATCAAATTATGTTTTTGATACTATAATAATTTAAACCGTATTTAGATAAAATATTTGATAATATGCGAAGCGTTTCGAACCATTACTTTATTGCTCGAGTGTCACCGTGCGAATCATAATGAAGCCGTGACATATAAACAAAATTGCGCTATTGTTTATATTGTTTATATTGTTAAAGTCGAACACCGTGTTACTGATAATTCATTGTCAAAATATTTTACGTGTTATAACATATACGTATATATGAAAATATTAAATTCTAGAAGTTTTTGAATTTATAGATTAATTAAACGATTATTTATTTTTTAATTAATTAACATACAAAGCACTTCGCATCACTATTTTAGATATTTTCTTTGGAGAATATAAAACTGCGCCACAAAATATCGCAAAATATCGGAATATAAATAAATCTAAACTACCCCTGGATACAGAATAATACTTTGCGCTCCAAGATATCGCAAAATATCGTAAAGTATCGCAAAATATCGCATTGTAATTAAATCTATACTGTCCGTAGATAATTAATATTACACTGCGCCCATAAATATCGCAAAATATTGCAAAATATCGCAATATAAATAAATCTAAACTACTCCTAGAGAATAGAGAATATTACTTTACGGCCACAGATCGGGGAAAATTTCTAAATTTTACTGCTCGAATGTCATCAAGCAAATGATAGCAATACCATGACATACAAATAATAGCACCCCACATAGCATATTATACTAAAAGATAACGAAAAGATGTCTTTTTTAAATTATCTTTTTGACAAAGCGAGAAGATGTCTATGAAGACATCTTTTCGCTTTGTCGAAAAAGGTGACATAAAAGAGACATAATAGTATGTGGCACGTGTATCTTCGCTTGCCGCTACACGGCAAGCCACTCTTAACTTTTCTCGTATTTAATATTTATTACGAAATGTATATAAAGAATTATATTAGTAATTAATATTGTGTAATTAAATTTGAAGCATATTTTTGCCTTTTACGAGCAGTAATGCCAGAAAAAGGATATTGTTCGCACGCATCAATCAGAGAGAGAGCCACATACGTGTGCTACGCATTGTATGCATGTGAGCCGCATTTTTTTCCTGACATTACTGTTTATTAGTTTAATTTCTGACAAATTAAATTTAAAATAATTTATTTATATATATTTATTTATACAATATAATATAATTTATTAATAATCTGGATTCTTTATTGAGATTCAGAATATTAAACAGATTATTAGAAATTAGGATAAATTAGAGAATTAGTCCATTTATTGTGTGTATTGAAGTATTTCTACTACCGAGTGTCGATAATCTATATAATCGATAATCTATATAGAATGAATTAAGTCATCTTTTAGTCAACATATGGACAAGACTAAAAAATCACTGAATTCGGATCATGAGACGATTTTTAGCCATCTTTTCATTGACTTAACGATGTCAGTAATAGATGTCTGTGACAAAAAAATGTCCAGTTTTAGTAATACTTTTAGACGACTTGGTACTGTGTTGGATGTTATAATAGAAATTAATATAATTTTCGTAATAATTATATATATATATATATATATATATATATATATTTGTTGTGTGTGTGTGGTGTGTGTGTGTGTGTGTGTGTGGTGTGTGTGTGTGTGTGTATGTGTGTATGTATGTATATATATGTATATATATATATATAAATTTGAAATTAACAAAAATTAGTTTTTATTTTGTCTATATTAGAAACGTGAAAAATATGTTTTGTTAACTTTGGGTTTTAAAAACGTTTCTTATTAATGTCTTACGATTAAAAAATATTGGATACGTTTAAGAAACATATATAAAATGAATGTGTGCTACCTCGGGCATCATAACATATCTTAAGTTATTTATTTATTTATTGACGACAGCCACGTGTCATAAAACGTTGTGTTACGTCGTCTTTTAACAATTGATAATTAAAGGTTAACTGTCCATTTGACATCACTGCTGTCTTGTTGCAATGCAGCGGAAATTAAATCAAACTTCAAATTTTGTCTCGAAAATATTATAGTTCTAAGAAGTGACGTAGAAGAGATGATATATTGAATCCAATAAATATTATTGTTATATGTATTATCTAATCGACATAAATAACTTATTGTTAGTTAATAAAGAAAAAATTGTAGATGAATATGCATGTACTAATACTTGAATGTTTGTTTTCTTACGATACTTATTAGATATTCAACATGTGTATTTTTGTATTTTATATATTATATAAGATCTGTACACTTTCATAAATGTTAACACACAATTGTAATTTTCTTTTCAAGCTTGTTTTATATTATGTTTTCGAGCTTTTTCTTATTTCAAACTGTACATATAAATCTCTGTACATACATATATCATTGCTGTGGAGGGAATAAATTTTTATAAATTTATAAAATGTTTGAAAATACGTCTATTATTATGCATGAATTTAAAAAAAGATTTATCATTCATTATATAAAACTTGTTTAATTATACTTAGTTATTCTTAACACACAGAATTATTCTTAATTATTATTACCAGAATGTTTCTTTAATAATATAAAAATATTTTTAAAAATAAAAATGTATATCAATTAATATATGAATGGACTGAATAAGTCACAAAAGGAGATCGGGGGCATTACAAAATTATTTTCAATTATATTTTACATAATTTAAGTGTTTATCACTTTTTTGGAAAAAGTAATTGATTTATAGCAGGAAAAAGAGAGAATGTGATTGAATGCACTAATTCGCACTGGAGAATATAAAAATTATCGTATATAAAATTACAATAGTATAATTACAATAATAATGTAATTAATATTATACGTTTTTTATATTATATTATATATTATATTAAGTATATTATGTTAAGTTAATATTAGGTAAAATTATATTATCTACGTTATTATATTATAAGGTTATTCGATGCAAATAATGATAATAATAACTCGTACAATTATTTTAGTTATTTATGCTATTAGAAATTTATATTTATTTATATATTATATTTTACTAGAACTACTAGATTTATACTAAAAACGCTACGCTATTGATTCAAACTGCATTACATGAATGTTACAGAAAACGTATAAATCACTTTTTTAAATCCATTATTACTTTTCTTATAATCAGAATATCTTTTTATATAGTAAACGTGCCTCTTATGCTAAAAAGAAGATACTCAGAAATAAATTAATATAAAAAGTTTATAATAAAATTCATTAAACAATCATATATACATATAATTATTTTTATTTATAGATAGAACTATTTTAGTTTTACACATATATAACTTTTTTTGTCAAACAATTTTTAAAGATTTTAATTCTTTTTGAAATAACGCGAGTATCTCCGCGAGTATTCCGGAGAAAAATAAATTACAAACGGAATGAAGCTAATAAGACGTCATGGCAACAGATTTATCATTCGAAGCCAGTTACTATTGTGATCGCTAGCGAAACACACTACCGCGTTAATTATCGCTTGATTCAAACTGAATCATATGAATATCACAAAAAATTGTGTACAAATAGTGGATTTTGAAAAGCATACGTAGTAACACAATTGTATATAGTAACACAATCGTACGAACGAATCGTCATAATTATATATTTAATAAAATCAAAGATATAGTAAATACTTAAGTGAATTCGAATACACGCTGCGTGTGCTTGAATATGTCTGAAAATGTTACAAAATCTATAATTCTATAACTTCTTTAATCGTTTGTAATTTAATTGTAGTTATCTTTTTATTGATGTTTTTCTACTATAATATTAATAAAAACGAAAAGCTGATAATAATTATATTCTTATATTTGCGATGTATTCCAATGAATATGTATCATTTTGCATTGTCATTTGTCCTCCTACAACAAAAATAGAAATTATTTACTTATGAATTATTTACTTAAGAATTCTCTAATTTAATCTTAAAATATATACTGTGATCGCGATCATAAGGAGAAATCTAAAAACATAATATTAAAAGATAATAACTTGCGATTCGTTAAAACTGAGTTTCAAGGAATTTAATGAAAATATATGTATATATATGAATTTAACGAAAATATATGTATATATATATGAATTAATATCAATTCGAACACATCAGAACTAGTAGAGTGAGAAAAACAACTAATTGAGGATTCATCGGAAACTGATTGAGTGCAAACGTTTACGAAAAATGCAAATTATGTTTGGAACAATTTTATGTATTTTATTGAAAGGTTTAATATTGACAAAGACAACTATTACGCCGAAGGATTATATCACTTTAAACAGCCTCCAGGAAGAAAATATTTCCATGTATCCGGATTTAAATTTCACGCAGGTAAAAAATATTTTCGCTTGATTAAGAAACAATTGAATGTTATTGCAGTAGTGTAACTAAAAATGAATGGTAATAAATTATATATTCTACCTATAATAGGATAAGATTAAAAAAACATTTCAACATGAAAGAAAAAGTATGTACAATGTTGTAAAAAAAAAATGCATAAAGTTTCTAAATTTTCTTTACAAATAGATGTTATATAGTATATTAAATTTAATTAAAACGGTATTTTAAAATTTGACTGAATTATTTTGTCTGTCCCTCTCTCTCTCTCTCTCTCTTTCTTCATATACATATATAATTATTATTTCTAAAAATAACAATTTTTAAAATTAATGAAATTTTCTGTCTACTGTCTGCTACATTAAAATATACATACGATGGTGCTTCAACAGATTTTTATGTTATTTTTCTTCAATTTTTAAAATTTCTTTATTTTCCTAGATATATATCATACTTATTGATATATAGTAAGCTAATGTAAATTTTATTTTATGAAATTAATTTAGAAAGTTAGCATCATTTCTTTGTGTTAATGATAATTATATAACGAAACAGAGCTATTAAATATCGATATAGAAACTCTGTCTAATAAAAAAATTATTCATGAAACATTCTTCAAGTTGTATCTATTAACGCTGATATTTCGATCGACAACATATTCAATAATAATCACTCGAATTTATATTAATTTTCATTGTACATATATCCATATATATACAATTATATCCACATATTATTATGGAGGTATTATCGGTTTATACTATCGATTCATACTATCATTTCCAGAATTTGTTTGTATTAAAAATATAATGATATTCGAGAAAAAACTTGAAAAAGTTATAAATAAAAGAATTTATATAATTCTATGACTAATATTTAATAACTGTAAAAAAACACTATTTTTATTTTTGAAGTACAAACATTAATAAAACTTTAGTAATATCGGCAAATTTTTGAAAAGAAGTTTGAATAACGAAAAATTGTTAAAATTGGTAAAATTGAGAAGAGTTAACTAACCTATCGTGAAAAAGAGTCAAATTGTTCGACAAAATTGTTTTAATAATTGCAAAAAATTGCTACACTTTCGCTTGTACTACTTGCTGTACTAAAAGCTGTTATGATTCCTCATTGACTCTCGTTAACCTATTGATTGATTTTATGATTGACATGAGTTATGTTAGATATATAAGATGCCTTAAAATAAATAAAGAAATAGATTTTACGATATGAATAAAACTACATCACATTTAATTTATATTATTTAGGAATGGTATATACCGGTATTATTAAGCAAACAAAAAACAAATGGCAATTTTTCGTTTAATTTTATAATTTATATAATTTAACAATAAAAACAACCTTTAACGATATAATATTCACTTAATTCTTTTTGTATGTTATACTTTATGAAGGATATTTCAATGTCCGAGAAAAGTGATCATCATATACTAAATTTCAAATCTGACCGGAGTTATTCTGATACTGTGAGAAATGAGCGAGAAGTCGATAAGGTTCCACTTGCAAATATTTCTATCACTCCAGAATCTATCGGTAGGTTGCAAAAAAATAAAACATTAATAATCAATTTTATTAATTTGATACTCCGTTTTAAAGCAGTCGCAAATATTATATCTCTGATTTCTTAAACTATAAAAATTTATCGAAAAATACTTGTCATTTTATTACATGTTATTTATTCGTTTTTGCCATAAATTAATGATTACTTTTCTAAATCTTAAATGACACAAAAAATTCTTATATTATTTTTTAAAGGTCAATACTGTGCTAATTTCCGTATTTTGTAGTTTACATTTATTTTTTTGTAGTTTACATTTATTCCTTTAGTTTCACATTATATTGTTTTTTTCTGAGATAATTCACTTAATCTTATATATAATTATGTTAATACGTACGCTCTTAAAATCTCTAGAAAGCAAGCCAACATCTCTCAGAGCATTTGTACAATTTGACAGTCAATTTACAGAAAAAGTAAACGACATTTTTGTGACATTGAGGTAAGGAATCTAAATTCCAAAATTTGTATTCTTTTATTTTTCTCTTTTTTTCTTAAATTCAACGACGTATAAATGTATCAAAATTTTAATTCTGTTATAATTTTGATAAATGTAAAATGACTAAAATTTTATGTTTTTACAGATGGAATCAACCTGAATTTACCGATGAAATAATACAGGGATACACAGTGCAATGTTTTTTCATCGAGGACTTAAAAGAGATTCAAATCTGCGATGATAAAAATATTACAACTATAAAATTGGAGCACACGGTGCACAATCTAACATCTAACACGACATATTATTTTCGAGTACGTGCGCATACTAAAATTGTTGCTGGTCCTTACACGGATTTAATCAATGTGTCGACTACGCATGAAAATCCAATACCTAAATTATTAGTCACATCGAGAAAAGGTATTCACATATTGGACATGGATTTAAACACTACTTATTTCGTGTCAGAGTACGTATACTGATAAAAAAATAGTTATAATTATTATAAATTATTTTTAACACTAAGTATAAAATTAAAGTTGTTATTATTATGCACAAATTTATTATTATCAACATTATAGCAGTAATAACTATAAAATTAGAAATTTTAACTATAACTTTTTACTATACAATTATAATTGGTCCCTTTTTTTCAGATATGTACGATATGTCGCTTATTCGATACAAGAACATAAAATTTATTGGTGTACCAAGAATGACATAATGACATTGAAGATTAATGAAAATAATATCACAAAAATAGCTAGCTTTTATAATTATCCTTATAATCTCTGCATTGACTGGGTAGCAAGAAATCTATATTTCACGTATAATGATGAGTCAGCCTGTTATATTGTAAAGTTCGACTTAACAATGTGGGAAAATGGCATAATTAAATTTGATGAGATTTTCAAATCAAAAAATTATATTTTCCGTTTAAGTGTCTCACCGTCTATGGGGTACGTTTACTAGCGTTCACCTGAAAAAATAATTTTCCATTAAAGATTTATGCATATTTGTAATTTTTCTATAATTTTACGTGGTTTTATAATTAAGATCATAAGTAAAAAAAATAATAAGTTATTATATAATTATAAGAATTTCGAATTTTTACTACATACAAGTTTCTATTTTTCTTAAAATAATGTTTTACAGTGAGTAAAACAATTATATATTTTTCAGAATTTTATATCACGTATCATACAATTTGATGCATACAGAATATAATTTAATAAAATCTCATCTCGATAGAAAAATTGAACAAATTGTTCCGATAAATACATCCTTGTGCCTATTTCATGATAAAGATTTTATTCGTGATATGATAATTGATAACATGAATAATGAGGAGTCGTTAATTTACTGGTTATTTTCTAATCGTATATTTGTGACAAACATTAACGTTTCTATATGCAATAAGATTTTACACATGAAAAACGTAAGTGATAATATCAACTTCCAATCTATGATGATTGACAAAACAAACATTTACATTTTAACATATAATTCGGATAAATATACTCATATATACTCATATATACTTGTTTTGAACAAGAAATATGCAAGTCTCAAGAGTGTAAATGCAGACGAATATGTTGAAAAGATAATACACTCAAGTGGCAGTAATAAGCAAATTTTTTATAAAATTCACGCTTTTGATCAATCTTTACAATCATATCCTCCAATGAGATGCCTGACACCTGACAAAAAAGGTTACAATTTTGAGAATGTGAATGCAACGGCAAACAGCATCATTGTAAATCTTCCGAAGCGAGTTGTAAAGCATGGATGCAAAAAATATAATTTACCAACTACTATATATACTATCTCTGTAAGCCATTGTTTAGACAACAACCTCAATAAACCTGAAAAATTTAATGTGCTGCGATATGTGACATACGAGCGATATTACGAGATTCAGAATTTAACACCATTTACAGAGTACAAGTTGAATTTTACTTTAAGCAATTATTACTTTGATCAATTATCAATAAATCCATTCGATTCGAATGTGATATCAATAAAAACTAATTCGGGCAAGCTTAATGCACCAGAAAACATAAGTGTTCTTGCTTTGACGCCTACTATAGCAGCAGTTCATTGGATGCCACCTAAGAAGGTGAACTGCGTGCCCGTGACTTACGAAGTGCATTGGAAGTCAGTTACATTAGTGAATGGCATGCGACAAAAGAGCGAACAATTTATCAATATGCCGAAACGTACAGCAGACGGCAGATTTTTCACAAAGATTAACTTGTCGCTACCAGTACAAGATTACTTGATATACGTGCGTGTGTATCCAATTAATTTCAACGATTTGTACAACGAGAGTTTTAGCAAGATCGTTCACATATACTCAGAACCAAACAATATTACTTTGAGCGAAGTCAACATAAATAGCATGAACATTTCGTGGATCTCAAACATTAATCTGACGATCTTTTGTATACTAGAGTACAAAGATATTGTAGCAGAAAAGTGGCAAACAATGAATTATGTTAAAATGAATTATAACAAAGAAGTAACATACCATGTCGAAAATTTACAATCGGGAACCTTATACATATTTCGCTTGATATTGTGGTATCCCGAATATGAGGAAAATTTTACATGGCCCACTGATGAAAGATTTATTTTTTCAACACTTGGTAAGCAAACGAAGATACCCATACAGTACAATAAGATTGCATGGATATATCGAAGAATAATTTTATTGCAATATTGCAAATCGATTGTGATATTCTGCTGAGTTATTGTTATAAGATTGTGATGAAGTTAAGATGCCCGCTTTTTGCAATAAAATATTGTAACAATATTACAGTGTAATATATTGGAAAGAATGCAATATTATATCAACCATTTTCGTTTTTGATAGATGAATATCTTGAAAACATTTAATTAAATTAAAAAGCTTTATATAAATAGAGGTTTGCAATATTTAAGATAATCATATCTAAGATAATATATTGCAAAATTATATTTAAACATAATCATATAACATAAAATGTTATATTTTTATACAAAATTATTTTACTAACTCTTACTTACGAGTCACTTTTTTATTTTAAATGTTCTATATACTCCTATAATAAATACTTTATACATATATATATATATATATATATATATATATATATACATATATATATATATATATATAGGTATATTAATTATAGAATTAACTATACATTACTAATTATATATTTATTTAAAAATTTAAAAAATCTGTTATAATTATATTTATTTACATATGAAAAATACATAAAAATGCATAGAAAAATATAATGATAGGTATAATAGTATCTATTCTTAATATAATAAAAAGATATATTACCTTTTAACACTAATATCGTAATCGTAAATAAAGTGAGAATATATTTGTAATATTGCAATATTGTTACAAAGTAGTTGTAATATTTTGTGCTGCATAGATATTATGTTCTAATTTTTTTAGATATGAATATGTCTAAAATTTAAAAAATTATATTATGTATTAAAGTTATAAGTAAAATTAAATTTGTAAAAACATACACAGACGAAGATATTAAAATTATACTTTTGCTTAATATAGATAATCCGAGCACTCCTGGAATAACAGCGAAAGAATATTACTTATTATTCATGTTAAGTTTTATCGTTATAGTTACTATAACCTGCATCTGGTACTTTTATTATTGTAAGTATATTTGATTTAGGTATCGACTTGAATTGTAGATTATACATATATATAACTGATATAATATCTAGAGATTTACTGAAAATAGTAATTTACTTATATAAAACTAAACGAATAAATTTATTAAAAACAATAGATTTTATAATACATATTATTACATAATTAACTCGAAATTTTATAACAGTGCATCGCAGAGGTAATAAGGAACAATTTTTGTCTTTAACAATGATCGATATGGAATGACCATTGTACCAGTTGATGCTACGTTGCTGGAGTGCAGCGGATGCTAGACCAAATTTCAAATTTTGTCTGGAAAATATTATAGCATTAAGAAAGAACATGGAAGATGCCTTACTGAGTCGATATTATTTAGTCGATATAATTAAATTAATATTTATAAAATAACTTTATGTCGCTAGTCAGATAATCCAAGGATCGTTGAAAAAAAAATTGTAGTCGACCAAACTAGCCAGAAATTTGTTTATTAATACGACGTTTCGACCATATGATTGTGGTCCTTATCAAGTATATACTAGAAAGATTTATAAATAAATTAAATAATTAATTTTCGGTTTGAATAATATAACAAGCACAACGAAATAAAGTATGATCAATTTTACCGATGTAATAATAATCAGGAGACAGGCATAGACGATAATCTTACAAACTGCACAAGTCACATTAACAAAAAACGTTATTTAACTAGATTCGAATTTGAGAGAAACTGATGCGTCCGTGTGAGACTTTGAGAAACTAAACACAACCAGAGGAAAAACGAGACTAAGTGACCTTTATTATTTTGTCATAAATGTTGTTTAAACTATCCGTATCTTTCTGTAGGTTGATTAGATTATTAAATCTCTTGATAAAGAACATCTCAGCGATCTCTCTTTTTCGAACATACTTTTCACTATGCAAAATATTGAGTTTCGATCAGTCAAATTTATGTCCCGATACTAATCTATGTTTGCTAATGACTGAGTGATTAGTTTCATGTAACTTTATATTATTACAATGTTCTTTCATTCGCGTAAATGTCTTTTTGTTTGCCCAATGTATGATAAGTTACAATCTTTACAATTTAATTTATATACAACACTTGTCTTGTCGTTGTTATGTAAGCTATCTTTACCGCGTTTAATTAAATTATTTAGTTTTTTTGTTATTTTGTAGACGACGTTAAAACCACTATTTCGTAAAAGACGGTACAAATCATGATTCGTATTCTCTATGTATGGTATTGTAATAAAATGAGTCTTGTTTATACACATTACACACTTGTTTAAACGAGTAGGATTCACATTATTACATCGGTAAAATTGATCACACTTTATTTCGTTGTGCTTGTTATATTATTCAAACCAAAAATTAATTGTTTAATTTATTTATAAATCTTTCTAGTATATACTTGATAAGGACCACAATTATATAGTCGAAACGTCGTATTAATAAACAAATTTCTGGCTAGTTTGATCGACTACAATTTTTTTTCAATTAAATTAATGTTTATCTTCTTTATCGAACGAATAAATGAACGATTCAATAAATGCAGGAAAAATAATTCTACAATATTTCTAAATTAATTCTGTTATTTTTAGATTTAATCTTAATATTAGATTTATCAATGAAGATAAAAGAAATTTTTTAATCTTATCTTCCATAAAATTTTGATTATTAAAAAATATCCGTTTTTGTAATTGTAAACAACGTAATATAATGATATATTTAATTTGTGTTTTTGAGTAATGGAAGCGAAACCTAATAATTGCGATTATATGTGTATAAACAATATTTTTTTCAACATAAAAATATAATTAATTTTCGACATTATATATAACCAATAATTACAAACTGATTGTAAAATTTATGAGTGAAAGAGGAAACGCAAGTAATATCCTCTGTAATTAGTTGTAAATATATAAATATAATAATATAATTATTTTGAATTTATAACAATTATCATGTATGAATTTTTTACATCATTCGGAATAAGTATATATTTATATTTTATCTTTATATTTAATGATTTACTATATATTTAAATTATATTATTGATGATTACAAAAGTATGCAATTGTATAAATGTACTATACTTACTTGCTCTATCTCCACTTATTATAAAGCTGATAATGTATAATATTTGCACACAATTACGGTCTATCATTTCGAAAAATCACCAAATACTGACAGCGTTTTACAGATATGTATGATATTATGCATTATAAATAATATTAAATAACATTATAAATAATAAAATGCATATAATAATATGCATTATAAATAATATTAAATAACATATGAGGTTATATAAATCATTTCATAATCGATGCATAGATACAACGATGCAGTAATCTGGCGAGCACATTTTCTCGAATAATCCTAATCTTTATACTACAGTATACTAATAATCATAAATCCACAAATTATAAATCTTAAGTTAAAATAAAGATGGATGAAATTATTGCGCGGAAATCACAAATATTTTAATATTTTTTAAATAATGTTTAAATAAATTTTAAATAACTACATATTAAATGAAATAGGAGTATCGCTTATCAGAGCGCTTTATTGGCTGTTATTTGTCAATTTTTAATTATCTTTAATTATAGAATTATGTAACACATTGCACACGACTGAGTCTCGCTAAATCACCGAGTCGAAATTGGAAATCGCTGTTGTGAGTACTGTTGTGGAAATCCAGGTTAGTTTATCAATGAAAAAGTTTGACTAGATTAAGCTTAAGATTAAGATTAAGCTGCATTCACAAAAAAAATATTGGCACATATATGGAAAATGAATTCTACATATATTCTTCTATATTCTAATATATTTCATTTTTTCATAATACAATATTAACATTGCACTTTTAATCTTATAATCTTACAATAACTACAATGTGTACAATATCACAATATCCTCATAGAAAAAAAGTTAAAAAATTATTTATGATTTTAAAATATGTATATTATTGGGTTGTCCGGAAAGTTCGTGCGGATTTCTCAATAGATGTCGTTCAAAGGCGAATTTTACAAGTTTATGTCGATGTGATATGTCAAATGCTTTCGTGTTTTGATTAGTGACATTTCAACGCATACTTAGTGATATTAATTATCCCAATAAATTAAAAACTTTTTACTTGACATTAGTTTAGAGATGGAAGGAAATAACGTGTTTTTTCGATGCATAATGCTTTTTTATTTCCGTAAAGGAAAGAACGCGACACAAACTCGAAAAAAAATATGTGCCGTATACGGGGAAGATGCCGTAAGTGATCGCATGTGTCAGAAGTGGTTTGCTAAATTTCGTTCAGGAGAAATGAATATTGAAAATGCTCCTCGCTCTGGTCGGCCAGTCACCACTGATGTCGACCAAATAACAGCTTTAATCGATTCCGAGCGGCAGATCACAGTTCGGGAAATCGCAGCGAGGTTAAACATTGGCAAATCAACTGTTTCCGAACATTTAAACAAGCTCCAGATGGTAAAAAAGCTTGATGTTTGAGTGCCGCACGACTTAACTGAGAAAAATCGTATTGACCGCATTTCCATCAGCGATTTGCTATACAAACGCAATGAATACGATTCATTTTTAAAACGCATCATAACAGGCGACGAAAAGTGGATAATTTATAATAATGTCGAGCGTAAAAGGTCGTGGAGCAAGCGAGGTGAACCGCCATTAACCACTTCGAAGGCAGGCTTACATCCGAAAAAGGTAATGCTCTGCATTTGGTGGAATTGGAAGGGGATAGTATATTATGAGCTACTACCGGACAACGAAACCATCGATTCGGACAAGTACTGTTCACAGTTGGATAAATTGAAGATAGAAATCGCCAAAAAGTGTCCGGAATTGATCAATAGGAAAGGCGTCGTTTTTCATCATGATAACGCCAGACCTCATGCAAGTTTACAGACTCGCCAAAAATTATTGGCGTTTGGCTGGGATGTTTTGCCTCATCCACCGTATTCCCCCGACATTGCACCCTCGGATTTTCATTTATTTCGGTCGCTACAAAACTCAATTAATGGTTTAAACTTTGCTTCTTTGCAACTCCTCAAAAACTACTTGGACAGCTTCTTCGCCGAAAAAACCCAAGACTTCTATGAGAGAGGAATTATGAAATTACCCGAAAGATGGAAAAGTATTGTGCAAAATAATGGTGCATATATCACAGAATGAAATAACTTTTAACAACAAAATTTTTTCATTCGAATTTTGCTTAAAAATCCGCACGGACTTTCCGGACAACCCAATATAGGTATATCCTAAATTTTTTGTGTACAAACGCAGCTTTACTTTTGTAATTCTACTCAATTATCATACCAGTATAAAGATTACATTTCTCAGTCAAAGGCAAATATATATATATATATGGTTACGATGATTGCATTACAATTATACCAATAGTATGTTTAATTTTTTTCTTTATTTCCAGTTTAATTCTCACGATGTTAAGTCTATCCTGTATCAGATATCGTCAGAAAGAAGATTGAGAGATGTCATGGCCTGCTTTTAGGTAATCCCTGAAAGCAAAACTCCTTCTATGGACATTGAAAACGTGGACATGAACTACAAAGCCAATGTCCATGAATTTTCTTAGAAAGTAATATATAATGTGCACAATTTCTGGTTTTGTTCATTGCTATGTGCACGAAATGTCGGTAGTGCTGTATAACAAGATACTTATGTATGTAAATTGATAGTAAATAAATTATTTAATCGCGAAAGATATTATAATATTTAAAGATAAAATAAATATTTTTCTATATTCATTGTTATATTTATATCTTTTTATTAATAACACACAAAATGCCTGCTGTGGGATAAAAACATTTTTAACCGTATTTCTATACATCTTCTTAATTAGCAGTAAATTGATCTGTGATATTTATCAATCATTTATTTTAATTAGTTAAAAATTTAATTATTAATACATGTATAGAATTTGTCCAATTATTCACTGATTTTTCTGAAATTTTTATAATTAAAACTCGAAAAATATAGATGTTGCAAAATATTTTAAGTCTCTTCCTCTTTATATAAAATATAAAGAATTCGTATGTTCTATTTTAATATAGCTAACATTATTTTTATATATTTTTATTATAATTTTTATTATAATTTTTATACCAGCATAATATTTTTATGCTTAATACCTTATATAATACAATGTACTAAATTAAAATTAAATATAATTACAAATTAGTATTACTATTAATAAATAGGTTGTATGCATATTG